TTGCATGTTTTAAAATAGGCCTAAATTTGGGGGGAGGGGCTTAATTTTATATTATGCCTAGAAAAAAAGCTGGGTCTTCCTATTGGGGGGGGTGTATTGTTGGAGAAACACGGTATATGTGTGTGTGTATATGTGTATGTGTATATGCGCATATATATATATTGTAAATATGGTATTTTTGTTTTGTTTATAATGCCTTTTCTAGGAAATAGTGTTTTAAACAAAAAGAGCACTTAGCAATAGTACTTATTGCTTATATAGTGCTCCATAATGCTGTACAGCACTCTCCAAGAGGTTTATAAGTGTCAGCATATTGCCTCTTCAATCTGGGTCCTCATTTTACTAACCTCAGAATAGAAGGCTGAATCAAGTTTGAAACAGTTAGGATCAAACACTTGTCTGTGGGCAGAGCTTGCAATGCTGCATTCTAACCATTGGGCCACCATATATTTTTTTTACACTATGGGTAATATCTATTGACTTGCCTCTCTCTGGAACCTTTCCAATGTAAGCTTCCTTTGCATTTGGTCTTGAACCCAGGGATCAGCAGCATACTCATTCTTCAGCAGTGAACTCCAACAGTTTGCAGCATCACGGTTGGTTTTTGTCAAGGTGATTCGTATCAATTTCTGATCCTCTTTTTAATTGAAAAAAACAACAACAACAACACTGGATTTATTCACAATTATCTTTGGAACAATTATTTGAAAGATGACGATGATTAGGTGGATGGACTATTACAGAACCAACAGTACATTGTTAGAAAACAAAGTTGAAGACAAATTATCCTGGAGAAATCTACCTATGTGATTCCCTAAGATTGAGCACTGATTTCATAGTATATAATCATGATAAATGCTCATATTTTGAACTGTAAGGAAGTACAACACAAATTATGTAGATATCCTCATTTGTTTTCCAAAAGGGACAAGGTCTAATGATATTCCAATTGAGATTAACCCAATACAACTGCTGGGGTATAGTCCTTTTTTTTAACAACTAAAAAAATGGACAGATACTTGTACTAATTATGAGAAATTTCAAAAATCAGCAAGATGTTTCAGGAATTTCCAAGAAGGTCAGTGCAACATGGGGAAGAACTTTGGCATTCTCCCATATTCTGAATGCAATGTAGCATTTGAGTAACCTTCAAACTGTTCTAAGTATAGGAGGTCCATAGAAGACTGTTTATTTATTTTCATATACTGAATCCAACAAAATATTAATCATTATAGTCTGTGGATCTTTGTATGATACGTGAACATAATGAGTACAAACCTTCCCTATTTCTCTTTTTCTTCCATCTATACATGTTCTGGCATTACAATAAACCTTTTAAGACTTTAAAGAGATTACTGCTGTCTTGTCCCCATGTCTCTTTTTCTTCAATGTTCCATCAAATTAGAAAAAATCTGAATATATCTTAACTCAAGATAGCTAAAGTATTTACACGGAAATCAGACTCATTTTTACCTCCACTTCTATTAACAAACCAGAATATGTAAAAGGAGCTTTCCTTTTATTTTAAAGTCTTAAGAAAAGGAAAACAATGACGATGTTATCCATTCTATCATGTCTGACTCGGCGATTGTATGGGCCAGATCTATTTTCTATGTTCTGCTTGGTGTCAGCTTTGATGGTGTCTAGTCACCATGTTCTTTGGTGACCTGCTTTGTTTTTATCACTAAGTCTTCCCAGCATAATTGCTTTCGCTAGTGAATTCCCACACATGACATGGCCTAAGTGAGATATAGATTTGCAATTTTGCCAAAAGGGAAAAATCACATTCCTATGTTATTATAAAACAATATTATATACCATGTGATTTTTTAAAAAAATAATTAAAAAATCCAAGCAAGTAGAAGGAAAGTCCACAATGAAACTAAATTGTGTAAAGTTCTCTAAAGCACAGATCTTACCTAGTGTCCAGGTTGCTTCATCAGCTATTGTAGAGTCAAATAAATTACCCTGGGGGAAAAATATAGGACCCCTGTTTCAAAAGCAAATATTATGGATTTATAATATTTGAATGTCACAAATACTATATACTATAATTTTGTATGTAATTTTGTAAACTTTGCTGAATTAAATTTAGTAGATCAACAAAAGGTCAGATTATTTAACAGTATATTATTGCATAAGAAGAGGTCACATTTTTAATTGTTTTGCCTATTTTAATTGAGGCCTTGAAGATTTTAATATATCAAAATTCCAAGCTTAATTATGACAATTAGTTTTCCTTTCATTTGAACTCTATCCTAATAAAATGGAAAATTTAATTTCAAATTCGACCCCTTTTGGAAAGGAGGAAGAAATTATTAAGTTGCCAACTGCTTAATGCCATCTAAGGTGACAGACAGGTTTTTAATTCCAAAGCCATAATTCCACAGATAGGGAATGAATTAGCACATGTGACCGTAGTCTGGGTGCTTGGAAATGTGTTCACACTTTCGATCAGTTGCCAAGTGCTCCACAATCATGGGATCACCATTTGCAATCTTCTTCACTGGTTTTCCCAGAAATTCATTGGGGAAGCCAACAGGGAAGGTTACAATCTGCTGTCACCTGCCAAGAGCACTCTCACTTGTTTCTGGGGCGCTGAAAGAACTTCTTTCTGAAGAATTTCAGTTTTGGATTACAGCAATCAGGATTTTCAGATCCTGAGTTGAGAAGCAATGAGATTGGGTGGTGAGAATCCTTTCTGAATTTCAGCAGGGAAGAATTTCATCTCCTAAGCAGAGAAAGACTCACTTGTGCCCTGTGCAAGGCCTCCTCCAACCCCCAAAGCAGATCTGATCCTTACCTCCTACTATGTCTGCTTAAGATCCTACAAGCTCATTTAACAATGCAACCAGAAGTTTTGGGATTGTGGTCACCAAGAAAAGCATTCATATGACACCTTAACAACTGCTTTATTCAATGACTGAGATGTCAATCCCAATTGTGGTCATAAACCGAGAACTACCTGTTAGCACAAATATTACATTTTAATCAGTTTGTCAAAATAGTCTGACTAAAAAGATTGTACAACGTATTTATTTTTCTAAGTGTATTCTTGGTTTTACTGTTAGCTTTTTTCATCAATAGTAGACTAGAAATCTGAATTGTCTGCCTAAGATGGGAGACCGAGAAGCTCTTATATGCAGCACTCAAGATGAGAGTGGGGCAGTTAAACCAGAATTCTACATATAACCTGTTTTGTTTTGTTTTTTTGTTTACTAATCAATGTGACCAGTCCACAAATTCCCTTGAGATAGTCCTTGCAGTTTTTTTGGTAAGGTTTTCATAAGTGTCTTGTCAATGCCTGCTTTCTAGGACTGAAGAGTGAGTGACCGGTTCAAAGTCACCCAGTTGGCTTCATGCTTAAGGCAGGACTAGAACTCACAGACTCCTGGTTTCTAGGGGAAATGATAAAATGACGATAAAAGTGATTTGTTGCCAAATCACTTCCGAACTCGTGACAACAAAACTGCAGGGGGTTATCCAGGCAGTCACCAGGAATCAAGATTGGAAACCCCCGCCCAAAAAAGTTTGGCATAGCAGAAGCATCAAGCAAAACTCAATATGGGACCACGCTTCAATGAGTCTGCGCTACGCCCTCCCGTGTCACATCATGAGGACTAAACCGAACTAGCATCTCTCTCTCTTTTGCAGAGGTACCTTGAGCACCTCCTTCCCAGCTACGGTCAAAGCCAGGTGCCGGCTCTTCAGGCTGCATTCCACATCCCGCGCTCGGGTCCCTTGCGGCACGTTGACCTCGACGAAGACCTCTTCCATGGTTTGGTACCAGCGTCCCCAGGGAGTGGCGCAGGGCACGAGCCCGCTCCGCTCTTCGAACGGCGCAGACATCTACTTGGCCGCCCAAGCCTGAAAAAGACGCATGCGCCTTCGTCCGGCTGCCGCTCGTTAGCCTGTCTTCGGAACTATTCCGGTAGAAACCGCGAGGGGCGGGGCCAAGCGTGCCAGGCTTCCGCCAGCTTCTTCCGCCCATAGATCCAGAACGAGGAGAAAAAGAGAAGAGTGTGCGGTTATAACGTTTCACAACAACCAATCACAGCACAATCTTTTGGGTGGGAGTAGCTGGTTCAAGTTTCTCGTTGTTTTCATTTTATTAATGAAAAACCTTTAAGTCAAGTAAAACCACAGCCTGTCAAGAAGTAACTGCTGAGAGACAATATGGGGAACCGAGACTGAGAAAGCTCTATTGGTAATCCGCTACGTTTGGTGATTTTGTTTGCCCAGTGCTAGTAAAAAGGAACATGCGTAGATACACGGGACGCTTTAAAATAAAACCACACTCTATTTTTCTGTTCACACAGAACAACAATATTTTGCGTGAAGAAAGGGTTTAGAAACAATGCTTCAGTGCTATAACCACGTACGTCACTCTTGATCGAGAGATGTTTTGGAGCTCAATTCCCAAAATCACTGACTGGGCAGCAGATTATGAGAGTTCAAACAGGATTGATGTGGAAGTAAAAAGATGCCAGGCTGGGGAAGCTTGCTAAATATATTCCACAATCTAGTTGACGTGTTGGAAACTGCATTCTACGTGCACAGTATAAAATATATTTTCATTTGACAACATACAATGTTTTATTGAAAACCGAACACGCCATGAGTTTATTAAAAAAAAAAGTGGGTCTAAAGTATGTTAAATATTCATTTTACTTTGCAACCTCAAACTGTCAATTATTTCTGTTCACATTTCATTGCACTCAGTATGGGAGGTCTAAACTCATATCGCACCACGCCTAGCTTCGCAATCTTTATTATTATATTCTACTACCTATTAAGAACTTCTTAACCTAATTATGTCTGCCCACCTACGGCGCATGCTCCACCGTTGAGCCCTGATTTGTTGATAAATTGGTCGGTCGGATTATCCGATTGGCTGATTCGGGCGTATATTAAAGTGGGCGGTATCCTGTTCAGTTTTTGAATTTGTTCTGGACGTTCTGGCTGTGGGAAGTTGCGGGCTGACTATGTCTTTTCCGAAGGCTCCGATCAAGCGTTTCAATGAGGCACCAAGTAAGTAAATGGGTGCTGGGCCACGCTGGGCTTGGATTGTTTTTCCGAAGGAAAATATCTTTGAAAATATCTTTTTCGAGCATGATGCAAAATATGCGCGATAACGTGTTGCACCTCTCCTTCCGCCTTACTTTGTTGCACTGTGCAACGTTCTGTCTCCAAAAATAATCGTGAATTGTACGAAGTTCCGTTGTTGAGATGTTTAGGGTATCATTATTATATCACCATTTCCTTCCTCTATCATGTAATAAAGACAGCCTTACCCAATCCAGAACTTTCTTAACGAAGTGGATTATAATTCCCATTATCTCCAGCCAGCATTACCATTGGCCTGCAGAGTAACAAGGTAGCAAAGCATTGTTGGGAAAAAAAATCTTGGAATTAGTTGGCACTAGTGCATTAGGATAGTGCTATGATCAATGTAAGTAAGTAAAAACATTGAAAAAGAAGGTGGCTGCTTATAATAAATTAAACTACATATTTTTAAAATATATATTTAGCATCATATTTTCACTGAATTATTACAAACCTCACAAAAAGTAGAGATTAAACAGATAATTCATTTGCAAGTGGATCAGAAAAAAAAAACACATTTCAATAGGTTTTAGTGCATCCAGCTCTAGAAGTGATGCAAGGTAAAAGGTTGTCTCTTTTGAGCTGAATTTGACTCCTGATAATTTCATGGCAACATTTTACAAGTGGTTTGTTATTGCATTCTGGATTTTAAAAAACAACTCAGCTTTGATTTTCCTGGAAGTTTCCTACTCAGATTGTAACTCTGATCAGTGCCAAACCAAGACAAGGTAAGAGCTAGAGTTTCCTGTTGCTTTAATATCCTAAATCTAATGTAATCCTTGGCAGTTGTGCACTCACATTCCAGAGGCCTGGAATGTACCATTAGTAGTTGAAATCTTAGGAAATATTTTGTACTGTAACTGAATACAACATTGCTAACAAAATAAATCTTCAAATGAAATGACCTTTCTTCTGAAGGAAGAAATCAAGGTTCCCAATAATTTGTGAAATCTCAGTTGTGTATATTGTTAGATTGAAACATGGCTTATGACTCCATGAATCAATTCCTTAATTAGTCATATAGTCCAGTCTTCAGCCACCCAGCTTCAACATAGACCCAGCCTGCTGGTAACAGATCAGCTGGCCAAAGTCACTGTGACATTAAGATAGGTGGCATATAAATTTAATATATAAAAATGTTGCAGAGATCTTATTCTTTTTAAAGTGAATCTGGGTTCTCCATTGACTTTGCTTGTCAGTTGCAAAATGTGATCACATGACCCTGGAGCACAACAACCACTGTAAATATGAGTCAATTGTCAAGCATCTGAATTTTGATCATGACTGTATGGCAGAGACCTGAAGACCATCTGGCTGGCAGGAGGCACGTGCACATGCATGGTGGAGCTGAGCTGGGGTGACAGCACGCGTGCCCACAGAGAAGGCTCTGCATGCCACCTGTGATATGTGTGCCATAGGTTCACCACCATGATCCTAGGCTTCTGAATTCAAGTGCAAGTAAATCTGCATTTGCCTTGGTTATGCTGATTGGAAGAAGGCTTAAACCTTTATCTTACACATATTCCCAAATTAATTACATCCTCTCCGGAAGGAGGATATGCTGACAGAAAATGAGTTCCAGTCAGTCAATTAATACTGATGGTACTCCTCTCTAAATTCTTTTAAAGTACAGGTAGTCTCTGCTTATCAATGAAATTGTGCACAGAATTATGTCATAAGCCTTTGCAATTGTAAGTTGAGGCATTATGTGACTGCCAACGTTTTTTTTGAGGTAGTCGTGTTGGAAGTTAAAGCCCGTCCCCCTCCTAGAAAAATGAAATATTTTAGGATATACTAAAAAGGCAGAATATTTCCCCTAAAAGGGAAGTAGAAACTCAGGCCCCCACCTTTGTCATTAATGCCTGGGCCAGTCTATTTTACATAACAAAGATTTACCTCCTTCAGGCAGACCCATAATAGGAATCCCAAAGCCCTTTCATTACATCAACATCCAGCAAGGCTCAACCAAGCCTCGGACTCAGGACAGCCTGTATGGCTCCATGGGAGTCTGACAAGCTCAAATTCAAGTCCCAACAGAGGGCATAAAACCAAGGGACTCTCAGCATCTCTTCCCTTTTTTCTCAGGAGCTCCAAAGCATGTAATCCTGTTCACCATTAAACCATCTTTCCAAGCAGTTACCATGTTTCCAGTGTCTTTCTTCCCCATTTGGAACTGAACCCAGATGGACATTTCTTTCAACAGTTGTTAAGCAAATATTGTGGTTGTTAAGTAAATCTACCTCCCACACACACTTCAGGAGTAATTTTTTCAGTCTAGACTCTAGACCTGTGATGGCAACTCTATGGCATACGTGCCGGAAGTGGCACACAGAGCACGCAAGTAGTCGACCCAGCTCAGTTCCATTGCGCATGCACACGCACCGCACACCAGCCAGCTGATTTTGGGGTATTTGCCGCACATGCACGGGGGGCGGGGCACATACAGGAGATAGAGGTGGGGTGTGTGCGCACTGCATTATGGGTGCAGGCACACATGCACATGTACATGCATGCACTTTCAGCACGCGATGACAAAAAGATTAGCCATCACTGCTCTAGACTCTGGTAAATGATGGGCAACAAAGCAAGATACTCCCCCAATGTTTCTGCAATTGAATTGGATTTCAATTCCCAGAATCCCTCAGCCAGCCTAGAATGTTAGGAGTTGAAATCCACTCATCTTAACTTTGCTAAGTTTGAGAATCACTGCTTTAGAGGTGCTCTCAAATCGAGAATTTCTTTGAAATTGTGTGACAAAAATTTCAAACAGTATTCTTTCCAAGTAGTCCATGGTAGATCACCCAAAAGGATAATGTGTTCTTTAAGTGCTAATTGTATCAAGGTCTCAAGTTATATTTTTGGAAACAGATGCAATTTACCTTCTCTCCCTATGCTGGGGGCACGTCATTAAGAGTTCATAAATATTCAAAGGTGCCTTTTACATTTAGTGGAACCATGCAAATAAGAAAAAAAAACCCACAAGATAAATATGAATTTCAAGTTAAATATAATCATTTCAATAGATTATATTTTTTAAAAAATAAACTTATTGTAACTGGAGCTCTGACTCTGATTAATATCTGTCTCCTACCCATCTCTAGCTTGTGCCCCACCACCCGGCTCTTATGATATCAAAACTTCAGACCCATCAAAAGGACCTGTGTCTTTTGAAAAGTCTCAGCGATTCAAGATGCAGATGGGTAAGTAATTGGGTTATGAATGGCAATGGCTTTTGCAAAGTTTCTTCATCAGCTTTTTACTTATATGTATGGTTGGTTGGTTGTGTCTGGAGATTGTCTGTTTCTAATTAACATTGTAGTTTGTTCATGTATACTTGCTGAATGTTGAATAACACTTTATACACTGGGGTATGTTTCCCAATTGATCTGCTCTGTAACAACCCCCCAAGAACATAGCAGAATTTTCCTATAAAATTCTAGGAGCTAAGAATTAAGCAGTGAATTAAGGCTCAATGCAGTGTCTAACTTAATCAACTGGCGATCTTACTCAAGATTGTTTTTTCTTAATTTCAAGAGATAGAGTGGGATAGATAAACAGGTGCATCAACAGATGGTTAGCAACCTGACAGTGAAGTAATATAAAAACAACAAAATTCAGAATGTATTACATAAGCAGTACAGTGAGTAATTTATTTTTTTCTTAAAAACTACCTACTGGAGATTTTGTTTTAAATTTGAAATTGCTGAAACGATTCTAAATAGCATTAGCACCCTTAACACTTTTTTTTGTAAATTTTATTTGAGTTTTCACAAAGAGAAAAAAAATACAAATAAAACATCTTTTTG